TTAAATATGTAAGGGATTATTATAATTTTTGCAAATGTACAAATTCTGTTCTAATTTCTAGTTAGACAATATTTAAACATCAACCACAAACCACCCAAAACACTTTATTATGAAATATCTGAAAATGTTGCAAACTTTATGAGAACAAAATTCTCTGTAATCAGGATGTTTGGTTAAAATTCCTTAATTTTATGGTCGTAAGTTAAGGTCTATGTTTAGTTGATTCTTGAAAATCAGATTCAACAAGAAGTTTGTACATAGGCCATATCTCATCCCTTCCAGATGCATTTTGTAAACAATTTCTTCACTGTTATTTCCACAGTTTTAATTTATAGACTGATATTCAGCTATCTAGTAAACATCGACCGGGTCCCAAAGAGTTGTTTGCAAAGTCTTTGCATGAAGTGTCTGTTCAATGAATGTTGTCAAACATTGATCTTCAAAATGCTGTGCTTCTCAAGGGCATGCCAGGAGATGTATCTCCTGGCTTTGATGGGTTGACAGACTGCAACTCTTATCCATGCACCACACAGGAAGTTGCCACCTATAAAACTCATGGAGTTGTCAAGCTGAATGCTGGACTCATTCCAGACTTCTGTGTCCCTTAGCTGATTCCAATCAACAAGTACGACAATTTTATGAGCTAAATGCTTCTTAGACTTACATCTTTGTTTTAAATTTTTTGTTGCAGTATCTTTGTTACTTTTGTATTTTATTTTTTTATATTTTTAAATTTAAATTAGAAACAATCTTATTTTATATATTAATCCCAGTTCCTTCTCCCTTCCATTCTCCCATGCCCACAAACGATCCCCATCCCATCACACTTCTGCCCCATAGAAAGGGTGAGGCATTTTATGGGGTATCATCAAAGTCAGTTACATCATTTGGGGAAGGGCCTAGGCCTTCCTCTGTGTGTCTAGGCTCAGAGAATATCCCTCTATAGGGAATGGAATCCCCAAATCCATTAAAATATAATTGCATTATTTTCTCCTTTCCCTTTCCTTCATCCAACTTCCCCCATTTACCCTCTTGCTTGTTCTATCTGCTTCTTTGATACTAAAGTACTTGAGAATAACATGCAAGACAGGAAACTGATAAGTATTAAGACATTCCAGGAACTTCTTAGTATTTCATGCTAAAAGACAAATTATTATACATTATTAATATTTTAATGACAACTGGGAAAGTGGAATGCTTATCTTTTGGACCAGTAAAAGGAAATATGAGATTTCACAGCATCAATTCAAGGAGAGATAAAAGATGCACAGATTCAAGTATGACTACAATGACAACATAGGGTATGGTCAGAAGTAAGAAGTCCTAGCTTTGAAGGCTGGAGAACTCTTCTAAATGGAAGTTTAGTGTGGGGGGCAAACTGCCTACAGTCACTGAGTCATTTTGAAACAATAACTTCCAATTGATCTGTCCTTTTTAACTATGTATTGCCATCTTTTGAAAATTAATCTTAAGAATCAAAGCAATGCACATAGCTACATGTAACTTGTGCACAAGGCAATATTCAAAGTCCCTTAAGTATCATCTTACTATAGAATATCATGAATATGAAGATTCTTTTTCATTTGATTGTATTTTTTCTTTCTTTTTTTTTTCTTTTCTTTTCTTCTTCTTTTTTTTTTTTAGACAAGGTTTATTGGTTTATTGACTGTCCTGGACTCTGTAGACCAGGCTGACCTCAAACTCACAAAGATCTGCCTGCCTCTGCCTGGGATTAAAGGTGTGAGCTACCACCACTCAACTCAAGATTCTTTTCTTTTTAAATTTATTTATTTTATATAACCAAGTCCATTTAAATGAAAACAAACATTTATAGACAATATTTGGGAATTGGCGTCGTTCTTTCCAAACTACTTCCTGCTGGTAAGGGGTGCTGTCATGGGGGATTCGAAGAAGATGCAGAAATCCTGGCTGTAGTCTGCAAGGCTGCTTTGTTCAGCTGTTTTGAATGTAGGATCACCTGGTACTCTGTTTCAGGCAGTCTGGCTTAATCAAACCACATTAGTCTGGAAGGAATCCACAGCTTTTCATTTTCTGTGGAAACAGAAATAGAAATCCTTTTCCCCAGTAACTTGTCCTTGAACTTAAATTTTGGAGTCAAAGCATTTTTTTATTTAATTTATTATTTTACATGTCGATCCCAGTTCCCTCTCCCTCCCTCCCTTTTACCCTCTCTGCTCTCTCATCTGCACTCTAACCACCCTCCCCTCCCATCCCCCACCCAATTCCATATGTAGGGGAATGCCATCCAGTTGGGGTCATGTAGATCTGACAGGTCCTGTGAAGTAGGGCTAGCGCTTCTCTCCTGTCTCTAGGTTAAGGCAGTTATCCCTCCATGGGGGATTTGTTCGCAAGGACCTTTTATGCACCAGGGATACATCCTGGCTCCATTGTGTGAGGTCCCTTAGCCTGCTCAGTCCTTCTGGCTGAGACCCATATTCAGGGGGGCCTGAGTCAGTCCCATGCTTGCTTCCAAGCTATCAGTCTGGTGGCGCGTTAGCTCCTCCTTGTTCAGGTAAGCTGTCTCTATGTGTTTCTGCAGCCTGGTCTTGTTCTCTCCATCTGCATCTGGGTTCTAGTTCGATTCTGTTTGTTTATGTATGGGTGTTTGCTCCTGTTTCCAACAGGTATTAGATGAGGGCTCCATGGATAAGTTAGTTGTTGATCTCACTATCTGGGAAGGGCATTTATGGTAGCCTTTCCACGGAAGCTCAAATTGTTAGTTGGCAGCAGTCTTGTAGTTCTTTAGACCTTTCTTTGTGTTCAATTTTATCTTCAAACCAATATTGGCTCCCTCTTTTATGTTCTCTCTCTGTCTCTCTCTCTCTCTGTCTCTCTCTCTGTGTTTCTCTTGGTCTCTGTCTCTGTCTCTCTCTCTGTGTCTCTCTCCCTCTCTCTCTCTTTCCTGTCTTCTATTCCTAACCGGGCTCAATCTTCCTAGTCGCACGTGTTTTCCTTTCCTCCCCCTCGTTTTCTCCTACTTCTCTCTCCATTCGCTGCCCCCCTTCCCCTGTGCTCTGGGGGGGGGGGCTTGTCCCTTCCTGGTTTTGTGAGGGACTTTATATGAATCTCTTAGAATACACCTTGTATCCTAGTTCTTCTGGTAGTGTGAATTATAGGTTGGTGATCCTTTGCTCTAGGTCTAAAATCCATATATGAGAGAGTACATACTATGTTCCTCTTTTTGTGACTGGATTACCTCATTCAGGATGGTTTCTTCAAGTGCCATCCACTTGCCTGTGAATTTCAAGATACCATTATTTTTTTCTGCAGAGTAGTATTCCATTGTGTAGATATGCCACATCTTCATTATCCATTCTTCAGTTGAGGGGCATCTAGGTTGCTTCCAGGTTCTTGCTATTACAAATAGTGCTACTATGAACATAGTTGAACAGATGTCTTTGTTGCATGGATGTGGATCATTTGGGTATATGCCTAAGAGGGGGATTGCCGGGTCCTGTGGTAAACTAATACCCATTTTCCTATACAAAAAATCAAGAGCCTTAAAGCATTTATGTGGTAAGATTGACATTCTTTTTTTATATATAAATTTTATTTAAATTAGAAGCAATCATATTTTACATATCAATCCCAGTTCCCTGACACTTCCATTCTCCCATGCACCCCAACGACCCCTATCCCATTCCCCATCCACTACCCAGAGAGGGTGAGGCCTTCCATAAGGGATCCATCAAAGTCTGTCAAATCATTTGGGGGCAGGGCCTAGGCCCTCCCCTATGTATCTAAACCAAGAGAGTATCCTTCCAAGGGGAATGGGCTCCTGAAGTCCATTCCTATACTAGGGATAAACACTGGTTCCACTGCTAGCGCCCTATAGACTGCCCAGGCCTCCTAGCTGACACCACATTCAGGGGTCCTGGTTCAGTCCTATGTTAGTTCCCCAGCTGTCAGACAGCTGCTGTCTGTGAGCTCTTGCTTGTTCAGGTCAGCTGTTTCTGTGGGTTTCTCCAGCATGGTCTTCAACACTTTGTTCGTCACTCCTCCCTCTCTACAAGTGGATTCCAGTTCAGCTCAGTGCTTATCTGTGGATCTCTGCTTATTTTTCCTCAGATACTGGATGAAGGCTCGTGGATGGCCCTTCTTTATATCATTGCATAAAAGTCTTATCAAAGTGAACTGTGCAGATGTCAAAAGAGCTCATTTTCTGCTATTAGCCATCAGTGGATTAACTATTATCCTTCTCTATGTTTTCATTTAAGGAATGAAAATACAAAATTTTAGTGATGAGAAAGGCATATTACTTTAGCTGAAGCAGAGTTCATTATATACTTCAGTTAGATTCATATGAATGTGGCTGGGTTAAAGTGACACTGTTGAGACTATTTACATATGTAGGCTTCTTTGCAGTTCTCTCTCTCTCTCTCTCTCTCTCTCTCTCTCTCTCTCTCTGTGTGTGTGTGTGTGTGTGTGTGTGTATACCTACATGTTTGTGTGATCTCATATGAATGGTGAAAGAAACTTTGTAGTTGATATTACCAGAATCTCCTTTTACATTTGAAAACAGAGTGATTTATACTATTTAAGTTTGCAAGATTTTGTTTGGTGCTATATTTTTAAGATGACACACTTGGGCTGGGGAGATGGCTTGGTGGTCCCCAACACTAGCTGCTCTTGCAGAGGACCTAAGTTCCATGATTCCAATCACCCACATAGCAACTGGCAACCATCTATAACTCCAGTTCCAGGAGACCCAACAACCTCTTTTGGCCTCAGTAGGCACCACATGTGTGTGTGGTGCACAAAAATACATGCAGGCCAAATATATATTTGAGTCTCAGTCTTCATGTTCCTATCAGAGTAGAACTCAAGGCAAGCAGCTGTCCAGCTGTGGGCGAGTCCCTAATGAGCCTCCCAACAGATGTAAACATTGTCCTTAAAGGAGGACTGTTCTCTGGATTTTGATGCTGCAGTTCATTGGCCAGTTCACAACCCAATTAGAAAACATCCCTTAATCACACAAGTAACTTCCTTTTTAACTTCTAAAGAGAACTAGAGGAAGATAAAACTGGCCACTCTATGCTGCCTGGAACCTCTCGGCTACCCACAGAAACCAGCATGTCTTTGGTCCTGCTCTCTGTCCTGTGGCTCATCATTCAAACCAAAGGTAAGTATAGGCATATTATAAAAAAACATTCCTATCATTTAATGAGTATACCCATGAGAAAAAAAATGTCCTTTTCACTCATAATATGAAGATCAGTGCAGTTTGTCTTGTGTCTTTCTCCACTGAAGTAAACTATATACTTACATGCATTCATAAGAGTTTATACGTACATAATTATAGGTGATGGTATATATACTCTTTCAAATTTTATATACTTCACCAAATAAAAATCATGTTTATGTATTATGTGATATTTTTCAAAATAGATGAAACAATGTTTGATTATTTCTCTATTTTCATTTATAGTATTAAGTACAATTGTATTTAATATAGTCATTAACCAAGGCTATTTATCAATTGGTACCTTGGAAAATTTCTCAGGAGTAGGGAAGGATTCTCAAAACTAGGGCATAGTTACAAGAAGAGTCATGGAGAGGTAACTCTTTCTCCCTTTGAAGCTGGTTATTGAGAGACTAACCAAGAACTTGACAACCATTATCTGCTCTCTTACTACACCATACATAAGCTAAATGCACCAGTGCCATCACTGGTTATCTTGCTAGGGGTGACATCACAATCATGTTAAACATTCAAATGCTGGAAGCCTGCACATTCCCATTCATAAAGATGTACGTAGTAAATCTCCAGCTGAAACAGTTGAAGACTATAGCTGGGATTTACCTAAACTCAAAATCCTTGCTATTTGTTCAATGATACTATTCGAAGGTTTTTATCTAGGGCTGGCTAGAGTCTTTGTATGTCTCATATGTTTCTTAAATTGTTAAGCCCTAGTGAGGTTCCCAAAGAGATGGTAAAGTAGAATAACAGACAATAATGAAACCTATTTTTTAGGTCCTCTTAGTTTCTATAAACTATGTGGTCACAGTTATGGCTGCAGTTTGCACAATAACTTAGTTAATTGTCACACTTCTAAAGAACTCTGACCACCATAATAAGGAAGAATCTTTCCCAAAGCTTTGGAAACACAAGTATTCAATGGTATGATTGACTTATGTGAATAATTGCAAAATTTAAAAAAACAAGAGAAAAGATATGCCTTCGTTTTCTAACAACGGCGCTGCAGAGTTTCGCACAGTTTATATGTGCAGCTTTTATACTATTTTAAAAAGACAATAAAGGACAGAAGGCAAAGTGACTTTCATTAATCCTTTTAGCTAGGACAGTAAACCACAAATTTTGACTCTGATCATTTCTTTCCTTATCATTTGTAAACAAGAGAAACACAACTTAAAATACATTAAGAAGAAACTTTAAAGTACATTAAGAAGAAACTTTTATTATAAAAATTTCCCCCATGTGCTTTCTGTTCCTTTAAACTTTCTTTAAGAGATGTTAATAAGAGCTTTATATCCTGTGAAATCTACAGTTTTGAGGGTAAAACTGTAAAGGAAGGTTATCTTGGCTTATTGTCAACAAAGGCATGAAATCTCTGGGAATAAGGTCCCTCCTAAGAGTAAAGTAATGCTTGCTTGTGGAAATACTCATTTTAGGAGAGTATAGTCAAGAAATTCCAAGTTGAAGAAGACTACAAAGGAATGCACTCAGTTACTACAGATTCTGGGTTTACCAAGCAATGCTCTTGATCCAAGATGAACTGCCTCTCTATGAGGAGGTGTAGTTTTCCATGTCATTCTAGTAGTTAGAGAGACAGGAAACAATCCTTTGTCATTAAAGTTGAAAAGGAGGAACAATCTGTTCAGAATGGTTGAATCATGTCCATAGGACAAAGCAATCAGCCAAACAAATCAAAACACTGTCAGTCATTCTTATTAACTTTTTCTGGCTTTCTCTAGTGATAGATACAAAGTCAACCCCTGAGTTAAAGCTCTATGACATAGTTCATCCTAAAAAACTACCCATCTTACACAGAAGAGGAACTGAGAACAACCAGACAGAGAGATATGGCAAAGAGGTAAGTCATGTTTCACGATCATCTGAAAACAAAAATGAAGGGCTTTCAATGGTAGTGTGATATTACAGTCAACATCCAGCAGTTTCATCTTGCAGTACATCTATGAGTTCTGATTTTGAAGATTCTAGAATGTAGTACTCAAGGGGGACAAGAAGGATTATTGGGGTATGAAGTTTATTAGAAACATCATTAGAACTACAGATAAACAAATAGGCAGATAACAACATGGCTAGGTGTCCCAGCCCCAAAGATAGACTGCATGACAGGTCTCTGAAATGGAATCAGACTCAAGAGGAAAATTTTGGGGTTCCTACTAAGAGGTTTCTGAGGAAGTTGTGGTTTCTATAACAGGTTTCTGCAGCCCAGCTCTTTGATTCCCACAGAGCAAGGGAGGTCACTAGGAAACAGGATGACTGGCCAGTGGGAGCCCTTTAAAGTGTCCCGGGCTGTAAGCTTACGTCCTTAGGTGGGGAATCTGGGTACCTGGAAGTCTGTTAGTTAGAGCTTCACAGAAGGTGCTCTGGGGAGAACGGGGGTGAGGAGGCTATCAGTATCTGTGAGAGGGGAGAGGCTGCTGCTGGTGCTTTGGCCTAAGCAGTAGTCTCATCTTAACTCTGGTGGAGAGACAGCACATGACTTCTCAGTACTTAGTAATAATTTACATCAGAGAAGAAACTTCCTGGCTTAATACTAAAGGTAAAAGTTCTTAGACATGTCCTCAAATCCATGGGAGAAAAGGACAAAAGCAAGGCAGATAGTTCTAGAAGTGGGCTTTCTTTCCTTTCAGCCTTTTCACACGTCTGCCTTCTCTCCACTCACTCATTCCCCAGTGACTATACCTTTCTACAAAGTAGAAAAGTATGCTACCATATTGCCGATATGCCCTCATTCTGTGACATTTATTATTATCAATAATAATTGTGGATATTAATTATTAATTACTATATGTAGATAATAAATAATTGCTATATAAATATATATTATATAATTATACAGAGAGTAATGTGTGTGATTATCAGGTGATTATATTTTAGGAAGTCCATAGTAATATGCAAATTACATTTGTTTTAGATATAAAAAAGATAAGGTGTAAGAGAAATGCTTCAAACTTCTTTATTTCTGCTATAGAAATGCATAGTGTACATAACTGGCATGTTAAAATAGTTACAATTTTTAGATTGGCTGAGAACTATGTGCTTACAACTACATCATTAAATATTTTCAGGAAAGATATGCTCCTGAAGTTCAATATCAGATCATACTAAATGGAGAAGAAATTACCTTCCACCTAAAGAGAAGCAAGTAAGGACAATTAACTTCCAGAAAGCACTGGTTGTAATAGCAGAATATTGGGGCACTTCTTGGCTGTTGCTTCATTTCTGTGGCTGAGATAAAATACCGTGACAAAATCACATTACAGGAGAGAGGGGTTGCTTTAGCTTATAGTTCCAGGCTGCAGTTCAACATTGCAGGGAATTGCAATGCCAGGACCTTAAAACAACTGGTCATATGTTACCCACAGTCAGAAGCAGAGTTATGAATGCAAGCATGTGTCCTGCTCAGCTAACTTCTCCTACTCTTACACACCCAAAGATCCCAAATTCAGGAATGCTGTCATGGGATACGCTTCCAGGCTTTGTCTTCCCATGTAAGTGAAGGTACCGAAGTCAGTCTCCCATAAATGTCTACAAGGGCTCCTATGCCCAATAGGAGACAGAAACAGTAGAACCTCCAGAAGCTGGCCTGTCTTACACAGTGAGACAAGAGAAAATCATGAAACACTGTCTCAAACAAGGTGCAAGATGAGGACTCACACATGAATGTGTCATCTGATCTCCATGTGTATGCTGCAAAATATGCAATTACACATAAACACATATGCAGAATCCCTTCCCCCTAATCCACACATACATAATAATTATAAGCCTGAATCAGGGTACACAACCTAGCTATAGATTCTAGAGAAAGAAGGATGGAACAGCACAAGTTTTCTAACAGTCAGTAAGTCTCCTTTGTTGGTCTCTTACATACACCTATGACTCAGCACCCTCCAAAGACTGTTTTCTTGCTCCAAAGAATCCTATCACAGCTCTACCCACTCATGTTTGAAGCTAAATCTGCAATAGAAAATTAATTGAGTGAATTCCCCCTTCAAAGTTAACTACATGCTTTGATTTATGTTTGTAGGAAAGTCCCAGTGTTAGAAAAAGATTAATGGTCTAAAGTCAACTGTATACACAGTTATTCCCATAGTACAGAAAATGGTGTCAGATAAATCAGTATTTTCTGGTATCATGAGTGACTTATGCAGCTTTCTACTCTCTGCAGGCATCTTCTGGGGCCAGACAACACTGAAACATCTTACTCACCCAAAGGAGAAGAGGCAACCAGACACTCTCAGGATGTGGTAGGCTATGAATCCATCATGGGATCTACCATTTACTTTGTCAAATACATAGGTCTGAGGAAAGTTTTTAAATGCATCAAGTGACTTGAAATAGAAGTGATTATCCATGGCCAGGGAGACAGATTTAAAGATAGGAGTGAACGCACAGTAACACTCATACATGCAATGCTAATACACCTACACTCAATTAGAAATTCCCACATACTTAAACAAAGTCATTTAAAAATATTTATTTATTTGTGTGTGTGTGTGTGTGTGTGTGTGTGTGTGTAAAATGTCTAAATTTATACAGCTAAATATATTTTCTACTACAGAAACCCTGCTACTATGAAGGCTACATCCTGAATGCAAGGGACACTTTTGCCAGTATCAGTACATGTGATGGACTGAGGTGAGAACTGTCACAGCACATATTAAACACTAAATGACTTCTTGTCACAGAGCCTTAAGTACTTCTCATGTCTTCTGTTTTCTTCTTCCTATTTGGATTGTTTTTGTTCATCATTAATCCATAAGTCACTGAATTATGTGGTTAAAATGAAGAAACTATCATGGTACAGTCACTGTTCCATAAGTCAGGTCCCACTCTATCAAAGCTTAACACTGGACCTCAATGACATATGTGTCCATTACCAAGTTCATCTACTTCACTCCTGGAAACAATTGGGTCATATTTTCTTAACAAGTCATGTGTGTAGTTTTATATCTCTCATGTGATTAAAACATAAAATAAAATATGTAATAGTTATTCCAGCATGGTTCATATTTAACATAACATCACTACATTATAGAATGCCTCCATGGACATAGATTTTATTGGCTTTTACATCAGCTTTACAATATGGGAACACACATAGTAATTTTTTATTTCTTAGCTAATTGTCATCGTAGTAAGTGTCTTTGAGCTATTCCTAGTCCCAATTTGTAACCCAGCTACTCTAAATGAACTTTTTGTTGTTCTTTCTAGGGTTCTGGGTGTCTAAATAGTCATTTACTCCATTCTCCACTCTGTTCATAGAAACTGACAAGGAATATTTTATAAACAGAAACTATTGAAGAATATTTATCTTACTTATGTTAAATCCAAATTCTATGGAATTCTTCATTTTAGTAATTCTTGAGCTTACTCTGGTAAATGACATAGACTTTCTTTTTCTTTTTTTTCACTTTTATTGAAAACAGCCTCTCCACCCAAATAATACATCCTGTTTATGACCATCCCTCAATTTACCCCTCCCAGTTCTTTAACCATCCAGTTCTACTTCCTTTCTGTTTCTCATTAGAAAATAAACAGGCTTCTAAGGAATAACTATAGTATATTATACTATACTATGTTACAAACAAAAACCAATACATAGGAATAGGATAAAACAAAACAAACAAACAAACAAACAAAAAACAGAAGGAAAAGGGCACAAGAAGAGACACAGGAAACAGATATAGACACAGACACCCACTTATTCTCACACTCAGGAATGCTGTAAAATCCACTAAACTGGAAGCCATGAATATATATGCAAAGGACATATAATGTAAAAAGAGCAAAATGGGTCAAATAATGGCATCATGAGACAAAAACCTCCAGTGACACCGTCAAGTTTTTTTTCTGCTGGCAGGTAGCTGAGCATGCAGCCTACTTAAGAGTAGTTACTTTCCCCAGTGAGACTATTTTAGAGAAATCCAAATTTTCATTTGCAAGTGGTTATCAAAAGAGATGGCTTGTGAGTTAGTGATGGGGACATATTTCTACTTCTCTTAGCTCTAGGACCCTATTGGTACAGACCTGTGCAGGCCCTGCCTGTCCATGCTACCTGTCTTTGGGAGCTGGCATGTGCCTCCATCTTGCTGATTTAGAAGGCCTTTTGAAATTGGGGTCCTGTATCCTCCCCTCTGGTTCTTACATTCTTTCTGCCTCTTCTTCCCCAGGGTTCCTTAAGCCCTAAGGAGAGGGAAGAACTGATTGGTAGCAGGTCTCTCACTCTAGGCATAATAGGTGGCTGTGGACCCCTGCATTTGTTCCCATCTGCTTCAGGAGGAAGTTTCTCTGATGATGACTGAGAAAGACACTGGTCTATGAGTATAGCAGGATGTAATTAGGATTCATTTTATAGCTACGATTGTGTTTAGAACAGTAGTATTTTTTTTTACCCTAGGTCCCTGAGCTATCTAGTCTTAGGTTCCTGGTCACCCAAGCAGTGTTGGTTATCTCATGGAGTTGGCCTTCAGTCTAATTAAATATTGGCTGGTTACTTCCATGAGTTTTATGCCACCATTGCACTAGCATATCTAGCAGGCAGGGCACCATTGTAGATCAAAGGGTTCGTTGCTGTGCTGGTGTTTATGATTCTCATTTGGTAGCATGCAGAGTATCTTCCTGTACCAAAGATGATGATAACTCAAGGATGAAGACTCTATGTGTGCACCAGCTCCACTCCCCCACCTTCAGTGAGGTGTGTAGTGCTGTCTCCAGCAACGGGGCGCTATTGTCAGTTGTAGAGAGCATCCTATATTCTTGGCAACAGCCTGGATTATTTGGGAGCTCCAATGAGACTCTTTGCCTAATCCCTGGGAGGCTTCATTTGGTAACAAGAGGTGGTGAGTTGTGGCTTTGTCTCTTCATCTCCATTATTTGGTGATTTCATCTAGAGCCCATTCATATATGTATACATTTTACTGCATTAAGATTTCATACTACACCTTAAATGGCCCTTAATTTTAGCTGTCTCTCCCCATATTCTCTCTCCTGTTCTCCCTTCTCTCTCCTCCCCCTGTTGAACTTCCCATTTCAGTCTCTGTCACCCATCCATAATTATCTATTCTACCTAGAGGGATATTTCCCCTTAGTATTTTATTCTATACCTAACCTCTGTGATTCTACAGGTTGCGGCTTGGTTATCATTGACACAATAGTTAATATCCACATATAAACAAATACATACCTTATTTTCTTTCTGTGTCTGAGATACTTCACTCAGGATGTTCCCCCCCCCCCCGGTTCCATCCATTGACCTGCAAATTTCATGATGCTATATTTTAACAGTTGAGTACTATTCCGTGGTGTAAATGTGACATATTTTAAAAAATCTATTCATCTTTAAGGGACATCTAAATTGTTTCCAAATTCTGGCTATTATGAATAGAGCAGCAATGAACATGGTTGAGCAGGTGTCTGTGTGGTAAGATGAAGCATCCTTTGGATATGTGTCTAACAGAGGTATAGCTGGATCATATATATATATATATATATATATATATATATATATATATCCCTCTGTTCCCTCTCCCTCCCTCCCTCTTTCCCTCTCTCCCACCCTCTCATGCCCCCCAAACCCCTCTTCCCTCCCATCCCTTCACTCCACATGTAGGGTGATGCCTTCCAGGAGGGATCATCTAAATCTGTAAAGTCATTTGGAGTAGGGACTAGGCCTTCTCTCCTGCCTCTAGGTTAAGGGAATATCCCTCCATGAGGAATGTGCTCCCAAAGTTCTTTTGTGCACTAGGTATACATCCTGGTTCCACTGTCCGAGGTCCCTTTAGCTGAGACCCATGTTCAGGGAGTCTGAGTCAGTCCCATGCTGGATTCCCAGCTATTAGTCTGGGGGCCCATTAGCTCCTCCTTGTTCAGGTCAGCTATCTCTATGTGTTTCTGTAGCCTTGTCCTCCCTCTCTGCATTTGGATTCCAGTTCGGCTCAGTGTTTAGTTGTGGGTGATGAGATCAACAACTAACTTATCCACATCATAGAGTCCTCATCTAGTAGCTGAATCTTAAAGTAGATCAATTCCCACCATTCTGAGGAACTGACAAACTGATTTCTATAGTGGCTGTACATGTTTTCACTACCACCAGCAATGGATGCGTGCTCCCCTTACTCCACATCCTTGCCAAAATGAACTGTCATTTCTTTTATTGACCTTAGCCATTCTGACATGTATAAGATGAAATCTCAAAGTAATCTTGATTTTCATTTCCCTGATGGCTAAAAATGTTGAATATTTAAGTGTTTATCAGTCATTTGATTTTCATTTTTGAGGATTTTCTGTTTAGATCTTTAACCTATTTTAATTTTTTTTCTTTAATAGCTGTTCTTTGAGTTCTTCATATATTTTGGATATTAGCCCTCTATTGGGTGTGTAGTTAGTAAAAATGTCTTCCTATTCTGTAGCCTGTCACTTTGTCTGAATGATGGTATCCTTTGCTGTACAGAGGCATTTCTATTTCATGAGGTCTTGTTTTTAATTATTGACTCCAGTGCCTGATGGCATAGGCTTCCTTTCAATACTGAGCATATACTGATTGTAATTTGAATGAATATGTGTCGTTTGCAAGGTCTATGACTGAAAAATCTATGTATAAAACTGGAATGGAGGAGAGTTATCCCTCCTTTCTGAATGGGACGTATGGATGGGCATACATGTCAGGTCATCCTAAAACACAATCTTATATCCCACAGAGGGTATTTCACACATCGTGATAAAAGATATAATATAAAGCCTCTCCAAAGCACAGATGAGGGGGAACATGCTGTCCTTACATACAGCCAAGGGGAAGCAGACACAGATAATTACAAACATGATGATAAGCATGCCGGCAGGAAACGAAGCCATCTTCGAATTTCCAGGTCACTGAAAGGCCCAAATGTGAGTATAGCTTTCTTCCAGCCTATATATTTTGGCTGTTTAAACAAGGATAGAAGGTGCACAGGTGCAGTCAGAAATGACAGACATATGCAAAGTCTCTGTTTACTTATTTCTTTAAAAACTTATTTTGGAGGGAAAATTGTAAGTGCCTGAATCATTGCCAGTAGAGATGATTATTAATGAGGTTCTCTTGTTTATTTTTTAAAACAGAAAGATTTCCAAGGACAGAAATACATTAATCTCTTCTTGGTGCTGGATAATGCCTTCGTGAGTACAAACAATGGGTATCCCTTTCTTAGTTCTCTCAACTTACAAGTCAACTAAAAGAGAAAGAAGCTATAAATTGTTTAGTTAGCAATGTGTTTTTGTTCATTTAGATGTCTTGGTTGCTTTGTTGACTAGTTTTTACACACCCCATGCCATTTATTTTCAATCAGTCACCAAATATTTATATAATTACAATAGACTTAATATCATACACCTATGTTCTAGTTTGTTTTCTGTTTCTATGGTAAACACCATGACCAAAAGCACCTTGGGGAGGGAAGGGTTTATTTAGCCTATATAGCCCATTGTCTAGGGAAGCTAAGGTAGAAACTCAAGACAGGGTCTGAGGTGGACCATGCAGAAACACAGTTACTGGCTTACTTTCCTGGCTTGCTGAGCTATACAGCCCATGTCCACCTGCCAAGGGGTGAGACAGCCCACAGTGAACTGGGCCTTCCCATATCAATAAGAAATCAAGAAAATGCTCCACAGAGATTCCCACAGTCCAGTCTTTGGAAGGCTGTTCTTCAACTAAGGTTGTTCTTAAGTGACTCTATATGATGTCAAGTAGACAAATCTAACCAGCGTATAACTATAAAAATTAAAGAAAAATATTTTACTAGAAAAATAAAGAAAATGTTTTGCTAAAGTATTAGATTGCTTTACTATTTTACCATAAAATATAAAAATTAGTGTAATAGGTAATATGTAAATATGAACACAAAGCTATACACAACTTTAAAAATATAAATACAGAGAAGCTATAGCATATGTTACCTCATAATGAAACCTGAATTAATATTGAATGGATAAAAATATTTAAACAATTAATTTGAGTATTCAACTTAAAGACCAATAAGAAAACCCAGTTCTAACCTTATAGTCCAAGACTAGAAACCTAAAGCAGGGAAAACATAAGTTTAAAAGCATCTTGACTGCATAGTGAGAACCTACCTCATGTCAAACCAAACAAAACAAAGAGAAAGATGAAAGACATTATGATGAATGCCTAATTTTGACCTTCTCAAAACCTCTATATTTGAAGTAGAATTTGTTCAAATAGAATCTAATGCAAGGCAGCCATAGATTTATTAGATGCTAACTATGTTATACTTTGTGTACTTTCTATTTAATCCTGCACCCATCAGCCTTCTCCCTTCAATTTTCTATGTTAATTTTGTATTATTACATTTTGTGTTTTTCAGTATAAGATGTATAATGGGAATGTGACTCGGATAAGAAGCTTTCTGTTTGAGGTGCTGGATCTGCTCAATGTGGTAAGGCATTTGTCATGTATATATGTTTTCAAACCTGTGCTTGGGCTTCCCTGTGACTTCCACTGTATGGGGCTAAGAGTCACATAAGAGTAGGAGCTCATCAGTGAGAATCATATACAGTAACAAAGCTATCTTCTAGAACTTCTGTTTTCAAGATGGAAATTCATGATATCTATTGCATCTCTTTATCTGTCACTTGTGGCCATCAAGAGTGCAGAAACTAATCCTGAGTGTTTTCATGAAGAAAAAAAAATGCTCTTTCCACAGATTTACAAAACCATAGATATTCAAGTGTCTTTGGTGGATATGGAAATCTGGTCTGACAATGATAAGATAAAGGTGGAACCCAGGATTGGTACCACATTCCAAAACTTTGTGACATGGCATCACTCAAACCTGGGAAAAAGGAAGACTCATAACCATGCCCAGCTTCTCAGGTGAATTCCTTCTTGCCAGGGAAGGGATACAAATGCAGATTGGGTGATTATATCCAGGGTTGCTTGACAAGAATTTCTGCTCACTCATATCTCTCCAGCAAATTGTAAGTCTTGATTACCAATTACAACCACTGGCAATTGACCCATAAATTATTTGAAGGTCCCTATAAGATTAATAAAACATGGTCTTGGATGGAAAATAACCATCTGTAATTATGGGGCTGTGATATAGTAGAAGCTATGCTGAGCCCTCATTAACATACAGAAGACAAGGGGAAACAAGGGAGGTCTATAATATCATTCCCATACGCTGCTGGTTTCCAGAGTCAGATTGTGATTGGGATTCTCTACTTTTCACACAGTGGATCTGGATTCCTTTATAAACGTGTAGGAATGGCAGCTGCAAATTCCTTGTGTACTTCATCTTCAGTGTCTGTTATTGAGGTTTGTATACTTCTACTAAGATATCCTATGATTCCATCTCTATGAAGATGAGCATCATGTCTTACACCAGAGTAAACACCATGACCACCAACTGAACTGATTAATCAAAGTACAAATGAAACCATTTTAGACTATTGCACTGAAGAGTCCTTGGACTACAAAATGTTAGCCTTGCAAAGGCTTTGTATTTCAGTTTGTATTAAAGAACAAGGACAACAATGTTGAGACAAAAAGAGCAACCAGTGTCCCTCTGTAGCCTCCAATATCTCTAAATGAATCTTTTGGTACAGTTGGTCAGAGGATATATAAGGAAAAGTGTGCATGTAAGGTATCATGTGCCCATTGGAAACAATGGCATACAAATTTCAACCACAATTTTACAGATGTGTGTCCATATCATGGCACCTAATAGCATATTCCATAGAGAATGTAGCTCGGTATTCACTCATTGAGCTTGAGCACTGACTATTCTTAGGAGCCAATCATTTCAAATACACAGGGCAAAAAGCAATGGCCATAAAATGAACTTAAGAATACACTGTTCTTCCTCTCCCAAGTATTCATATTAGGCATTACTCATTGAAAAGGACTGAGAAGTAACTGAATAAGGTAAGAAGTAACAGGCACTTCTATTTGTCCAGGCTAAAGGAAAGGATAATGTGGCTCTTGTAGCAGTGATGTCACATGAGTTGGGTCATGCCCTCGGTATGAAGGATGTTGTATACAGTACCAAGTGTCCCTCTGGCAGCTGTGTGATGAATCAGTACCTGAGGTAAGATGGTATCATCCCAAAGTAAAAGGAAAATCCCCATTCCTAAATAGATGTGCTATGCACATGTGGTAGGGGTACCTTCTCACAAAGGCTGGGTATCCTATTAATTCAGACTACAGCTTCTTCATTGGCAGCATAAAGATGTTCTGACAGTGACTAAATTTGGAGTTCCCACTGAACTGGGTTCCAAAGTGAGATCCATTAGATTCCTCTGTTTACTTATCACTCACAAGTTTCTATACTGTATATAATTCTATTCTATTTTTTTCCTATTTCAGTTCAAAATTCCCCAAGGATTTCAGTACTGCCAGTCGCTCACTCTTTCAGGGATTCATTTCATCTAGAAATGCAAGGTGTCTGTTGCTGGCACCTAATCCTAAAAATACAATAAAACCAACCTGTGGGAATCAAGTTTTGGAAGCAGGAGAAGGCTGTGACTGTGGCTCTCCTGAGGTATCAAAATACAAAAGGATTAAAGTTGTATTTATTAAGATTTTAAAGCAGAACTACTGGGGTAGTTCCATTTTCTTCTTTAAAAGATTTTGTGGTGTGTGTGTGTGTGTGTGTGTGTGTGTGTGTGTGTGTTTATGTACACACATATAACATGAAGACCCAAGAAAGGATGTCAAACCCTGTGGAACTGGAGATATAGGTGGTTTTGAATAGGCAAACCTAAGTGTTGGGATCTGAGCCCTAGTCCTTGAGATTATTTGGCAAGTGCTCTTAGCTGCTGAGCCATCTCTTCAGACCCCTTTACTTTTTGCAGTGTTCCTTTGTAAATTCTTCCTGGAGATGAACTTGATATCAGAGTATGACATAGATTTGTTAATGCTTGGTACTTTGCTTTTGCTTTTAGTTAATGACCCTATGAAAAACTTTAGACACACACACATACATGCACGCACGCGCACACACACACACACACACACACACACACACTCACACACACCAATAACAACAACAAAGAAAACACCAGCATCTGTTTATTACATGATCATACAAAGCCAAATGTAAAGAAGGAACACTTTGCCACATTCTTGTAGACACTGGGAAATTGCTTAGTTTCAGGCTAATGACTGGTGAAACTTGAGATTTAGCCATGATTTTTTTATGATAGCTCTTAGACTATCATAGAAAGCATCTTAGGTTTCTATTCATCAGGGCATCTATTCTGAAGCTTGGATTGTGTTTCAGATTCTTAATGTAGTTGTGTTGGAATTTGATTACTTATTTGGAAATATTTTCACATTTCCTTTTGTGCTGTCTAAGGCTTTCTTTTTGATGCAGATTATAATTCACTGATGCTACTTTTGATGCCAGTTTACTATTATCCTAGTGACTTATCAAGTGTTCATAAGAGTTGACCCCAATTTATTCTATGTAGGGAATTATATCCCATACATAATGACAATATAGTTTATGCTTTTTAGTTTTTATGTCTTCATATCTTATCCATGTCTCATGGTAGTTAGTAAATTTCCCATAAACAATGATAATCTTTGCTCCATCCTTCATTTTATTGGGCAGGTATTTTTGGCTATTTGTTATCTATATTTCTTTATGATGATGATCTATCATTTATCCACAGCATACATAAATACAAAGTCATGTTTAAGTGCTTCAGTTTTGGCTGCCAAAATTATCTACTAATTTTGCTACTTAGCAAAATATCAGCAATTGTCCCTCAAGTCCCTTAATTTGATGGATTTCATTTTGTTTTACACATTATTATCACAACATACCTGTGAGGGACTGTCCCCATTTTACAGAGGAGGAAATTGAGGCACACAGAGGTCAAGTGACTTGCCCAAGGTCACAGAGCGAGCAACCAAGCTAGAACATTCTCCCAGAGCAGTCCTTGCTTCAGCTGGGGGACCCCTGCAGCATGCACCAGACAGAGGATGTCCCCAATGCCCTTGAATCCTACCCAAGGTTTGCCAAACCATCTGCTGGGTCTGGCCCCTCCAGGTGGTCTGACTCAGCCTTGCCCTCCCCATCCTGCTCTGCTGGCCCAGGCCTTTGTAGCTCAGGGCTCAGAACCTTGGGGAATAAGAGTGTAGAAGTGGGGGACAGGAGAGATTGGAATGAAAATTACAACAGAAAAAAAAAACAAGGGGGGCTGCTTACATACAAGGCTTATTCTTACACACATTTGTACACACACCTAGATATAGTACAGGTAAAAATATATGCTATTCACACACCTGCCTCCTGCAGGTACTCTGAGAGCCAGTGGCAGCGGCTGGTGGGCTTGGGTGAGCAGATGGGCATTTATTAAATATACACTCTAAGGTCTATGTGCATATGCACACATACGTACAGACACTGCCACCTGTCCCAGGGAAACTGGGCAAAGGTGCAGCCAATGACAGACAACCACCTGGAAGCCACTTGGGAGTCCTAAATTTTCTTTAGCTGAAGGAAGGGGCTCGAGCATGGTAACCATGGTTTCCCCACATGTGCTTCAAGGACCAGCACTTTTTTCCTCTGCTCAGAGGCCAGTCCAGCCTGACACTGCCTAGGCAGTTGAATGGCAGCAGAGAGTGGGCACGGCAGCGGTGCGTGGGCCGACAGTGTGTGAGCACTGAGTGGGGAGAGTGGGGAGAGGGAGGAATGCTGCCCATCTCTGTCCTCTGTATGATCAGGCAACAATTACATTTTAGAGTAAGAAAAGTCACATAGTTGAGGTATTATAGTGATAAACTGGAGTTTAAATAATATAGTGCATGCATTTGTGTGTGCACATGCATCTGACCTGTGTGTGTGTGTGTGTGTGCATGTGCGTGTGTGTGTGACAGAGAGAAAGAGAGAGAGAGAGAGAGAGAGAGAGAGAGAGAGAGAGAGAGAGAGAGAGAGAGATGAAGACAAATTTCAACAATAAATATTGTTATCCAGTCATGGAAAAAAAAATCTATTTCAACTGGATAGTACAGAAATGTTCATCCTTGAAACTTTCAACAGATTTAAGTGCAATGCTTTCAAGAAAAATTCTTTTGACCAAATTCTTTGCCATTTTTCCCTTCTTGGTCTTTAATGACAGTGTTCACTGAGCATAACATTTATTCCTATTATTGACTTTCCCTGGTTATGATCACTGGAATTAGTACAGCAGAGGAAGTAAGTTTAAACAGGTAAACTTCTCTGATAAGGCCTGAGAACTGCACTAATATGAATTTAGAGAGAAATTTGATTATGTCCAGCTAGCAGTTTTAACCTTGGGCCCCGTAAGCTGCTCAGCCATGGATTTTTGACTAGATTTCCAGTGCCAAGTATGAGTTTCCTCTGTGTCCAATCAGTAAGCAATTTGTTACCCCATAAAATTTGATTGCACTGCAGTGGATAGCCCTCACTTAGGGGCATATGAGTTATTAAAAGTAAAATAAAGCTAGGCCTGATGGCAACACTCAGGAGGCAAAGGCAGGCAGATCTGTGAGTACAAGGTCAACTAGTCTCCAAAGGAAGTTCTAGAACAGTCAGGACTACATAGACAGACTCTGTCTCAAAAACAAAAAACAAAAAAGGACATGAGGTTAAGAGAGAATGGAAAGGGACAGGGTGGATCTGGGAAGGAATATCAGGGCTAAATATGATCAAAATATGTTCTGTGAAATTTATACTAGACATGAAATCTTTATTTATTATTTTTGTTGGTGGTGGTGGTGGTTTTTTTTTTTTTTTTTTTTTTTTGTTTTGTTTTGTTTCGTTTTGTTTTGGTTTGGTTTTTTTTTTTTTTTTTTTTTTTCTTTTGAGACAGGGTTTCTCCATTGTTTTTGGAAACTGTCCTGGAACTAGCTCTTATAGACCAGGCTGGCCTCGAACTCACAGAAATTTGCTTGCCTCTGCCTGCCTCCCAAGTGTGGGATTAAAGGCGTGAGCCACCACTCAAGGATTGTCTTATTTGTTCTTTGTAGGAATGTACCAACCTCTGTTGTGAGCCCCTGACATGTAAGCTGAAATCCCAACCTGACTGCCAAGAAGAAGCATCCAACCATATCACGTAAGTACCATCTTGTCATTGTTCCCCAAATGTCTTCTCTATTTTGTTTCAGATTTCAAAAAGGACTCAATAACACTAAAAACAAAATTCATCTACGCTTTTTAAATTTCCTAATTTTGTAATGGAGAAAGAAAGAATGCATTATACACAAATTCAAGGCCGTGCGGTTGGTCACACATGGATGAGAAAACAGGTTACTCTGACATTCATGAGATTAGAGTTCCCCGAACTTCTGCTAAAATTTGTGTACCTTCTTATAGTTATCATGTCAGTATGAAAAGACTTAAAGTGCATTTCTAACAAGACTTGATTGACTAGCACAATTCATTCTTCGTTAGAGATGATAGGTATTGTTTGCAAGGTACAGAAATCAATAACTGTTTAGAACTCTGTGTAAGAGTTGACAGGTTTTTTTCCTTTTAAAATGTCTCGGTGGAATACAATCCAGCTTTTATTTTGGGGTGACCTGTGGATCAGTGTGACTTGGGGTAAGGAAACCGATGACATGGTGTTTAGGATTAATTTTTTTGTTTGGGTGTTAAAAAGTCTCTGTATATAGACAGTGTAACAATAACAGGTATCAGAAAGCTGGGAATCAGAAGACCCTTTCTCAGACATTTCCAGGAATTAAAACTGCAGAGACAATCAAATAAAATAACCAATGCCAACATCATTCAATATCACTTCAATAGTAAAGGAACAAGGTCAAAAGAAAATGAAGATTCCTTTTCTATTTACTAAGCAGTGTTGAGTACTTGGTAACCTATGATGTGAGTTCACATTGCAGAGCTCAGAAGTAGAGTATGTATAAAAGTAAAAAGGAGAAGAAAACAATCAAACAAAAACCTTAGTTCCTTGGAGGACTGGAATGATAAATTGCTATATGCCCTTTTCATGTAAAATGGGAAGTTCAGCATCAATTGAAGAAACTTGAACTTGGATTCTAGATATTAAATTCTAGTCTTAAGTCTGCAAAATACTGTAGGATTTAGGACAAATTACTGAATTCTCTTCCTTCTTGTGCCATGAAAATACTAATGTGCTTTCCCAGTATGGTTGCTAGTATTGTTTAGTCTATAAATTTCCATTTGTGCCAGTCCATAATATTTTATCAGATAATAACCATTGCCTCTGTTTTTTGTTTTTCTTTAATTAGAGAATGATCCAGTGTCTACATCGTTGAGAAGCTCCTTTTGCCAGGACAAAAGTCTAGAATCTGATCTGGCAAGAGTTTTGCCTAGTTTCACTTTGTGCTTATATATAGACTGGCCTCTGAGTGCCATGTGTGAACCCATAGATTCAGTCACTGAACAGTAACATCCCAAATGCATTTCTATCTTTAGTGACTATGTAGACATCTTCTCAATATTTCCTAACTAATGCAGTGTAACAACTATTTGCATAACATTTCTGTTGTTGGTATTGATTATATACTAGAAATAGTCTAGATATGACAAAACATTTAGAAGAACTTCAGTAGTTATAAGCAAATACATTTCAGTTCTTATAAAGGACTTCCAGTTCAGAGATTTAGGTATCTCTGTGTTGTATTCCTGGAGCCAACCCCTAGGAAGGAAGACCTTTGCTTTTCTTTTTCCATTCTACTGTGAGATGTTGCCTGTATGATCAGGTTTTATCTGTAGTGGGAATGCTAGAATCCTGAAGGGTGGTTTTAGTTTCAGCCTTTGGAGAACAAAAGAAATGCATCTTTGATGAAATGGCTTAACACACTCCACTGAATTGTTGAGTTGATTCCAAACTGCAAGATGACAAGTAATGTAACCCTAAATCTCTTTGCTGGTGTAGGAAGAAATAAATTGCCATCTGCCGAGGGAGAGAGCTAGCAGAAAGATGAGCAGAGCTCCAGTCCCTTGCTGTTCCTCACTTTAACTCCTGTAAGAGTCCCTGCTTTGCTATCTCATAGAATATTGGTCACATCCAAACATCTCATTTGATCAAATATAGTTTCCTCTCATGGCCATGTGTAAGATTTATTTTAAGAAGTCTGTGTTGTTTGCAAATTAATGGAAATGGAAATGTAAGGCTTCATTCTTTGGTTTATGTAATAAACTATGCTATTAATAAAAACAATTACTTCTATGTGGTCATTTTCAAAAAAATGAATGTTTTCAAAACTTATTTATATGAGTCAATATTCTGGTTATTGTTCACTCTAGAAGCAATCTGCCTCAATTACTTCACACCCTGTACAGATGTGGGCAGCAGGGAAGGGGCTATTATAGGAAGATCCTTGCCAATTCTACCTAATAACATACAACCCCAAGACAGGATGTTTTCAATAAAGGATCACACGTAGCCCCAAATGTTTTTAAAATCTAAATCCTAAGAACTTGCTGGACTAAAATTTTCTGTAAATAAATCTTGTCACTTTTTATTTTTGATTATTTTTGAGATTGTATTAATTACAAGATTTAATATTAATCATTTCTCTCTTCCTCTTCTTCCCTCCAAATCCTCCAATATACCCCTCCCCACTCTTCTTCAAAGTTGTGGTCTCCTTTTTTATCAGTTGTTATTGCATATTTATGTATATATATATATATATATGTGTGTGTGTGTGTGTGTGTGTGTGTGTATGTATATATATTTGTATATAGGCATTGTAGCCAGTTGAGCCCCTATTATGTTAATTATAAGTATGTTTGTAGGGCTGAGTATTTGGCACGGCACAACCAATTAATGTACTCTTCAATGGGCAGGACCACTCCTAGCTTTGCTCAGCTGCCTATAGTTTTTGTGCAGGGTTATATGGTGGTATATTATTTATGATTTATTAAATCTTGACTGAGGATTCAGAAATCAAAGTCATCCACAAGCCATAAAAACCAGGCAGACACCTTTAATCCCAGCAGCCAGAAGCTAGGAGGTGATGGTACACATCTTTAGTCTTAGGACTCAGGATTAAGAGGTAGATATATCTCTGTGAGTTCAAGGCCACACAATATTAAATAGGTCTAAAAGACAATTGCAGCTCATACCTTTAATCTCAGGACTCATGAGAGGTCTATAAGACAGGAGCAAAGCCTCAGTATCAGGCATTCACATTGAGGATAAGGGCATTGACTCTCCAGGCAAACTGAAGATAGGAAGGCTCAGTATCAAGTAAGATAGGAAGACATTGAAGTCTCAGGATTCTCCAGCCAAGCTGAGAGGCAGCAGTTTGAGGCTTAGTGAATAGCTCATGTGTGGCTCATCTCTTTCAGCCTGAGCTAGAGGTGAGAGCTAGTGGCTAGCTGCTTTGCTTCCCTAATCTTGAGGTTGAATATCAGTCACTAAATATTTATTAATTCATGTTACAGGGTTGAGGCCTCTAAGGCTTTCCCCATATACATTCACAGAAAACAAACTTAGTATTTGGACAACAAAAAGAATGCACACCAAATTAAAAATATAATATTCATGAAATTATATAGGAAAGGTAGTCATTCCTAGGTCATTAAACTATACAGCATCATTGCTGAGATTAAGAATTAAATGCTAATTTTATTGGTCTCTGAGTGATTTACATGTTGCAAGATGAAACATCTGCAGGATTTACTTTTGATGGTTAACAATGTGCATGCAATCTCATTAGTATATGTGATGCATTTTTTTATTTTTTATTTATTTTTTTATTTAATTTTATATAACAAAGTCCAATTAAATGAAAACAAACATTTATACACAATATTTGGGAATTTGGGCATCGTTCTTTCCAAACTACTTCCTGCTGGTAAGGGGCGCTGTCTTGGAGGATTTGAAGAAGATTCAGATATCCTAGCTGTAGTCTGTAGGGCTGTTTTGTCCAGCTGTTTGGAATGTAGGATCAGCTTGTACTCTGTTTCAGGTGGTCTGGTGTGATCAAACTATGTGATGCATTTTTAACAACTATAAATTGTTTTTCATGAGCACAATTCTATTCCCAGCCCCCAAAAGTACAAAACAGTTACACATCTATAAAATGTCTAAATTTTAAGGAGTATTTTCATATTTTTGCCTGTTTGATACTTAATCAAATGAGTAAGTTATGCAGGAATATTCTATAGGAGGAGAATCTGTGATCAAAAGACAAGATGACTTGTCTAAGGTCATCAAAAACCTAGAGTAAAAACAGAGGAGAATTTCATGCCCTAAACCCTAAACTTAGGATGGCCACTATCTAAGTTCTCTCTGATGAGTTTTCTCTAGAAATGGATAGACTACCCAAACTACACTTTGGAAAGTAAATAATTGATGATTGATGCTGACAAAATATGGTGATTTCTAAGTACACCAGCTAGGACTAGGAACTGCTTAGGGGCTTGAAGCACAGAAGTCCACAGAAAGTCTCAAAACATTCATATAGTCACAAGGACTCACAGTCATAAAGACACACACACACACACACACACTCATATAAACACATATTCCGCACTTACTTATACATTCCCACTACCATTAGGCACCAGAGCTGATACCCACAAACTCTAAAGTGCAGGTCTCTATTTTGAAATGACTGGTTTCTTTTGTAAGTTTGTTTGTAGGTCCAGAGTATGAAAGGAAAGGATCAAATACTGTGTGTGGATATTAAAGGAGTTTGACTGAATGGATTAGAAGAACTGAACATCTGGGCAAAGGCTTAGAGAGAAGATCACTTCCTTTGGAGAGTCATGAAAGTGACCAGAATTGCTCCCGAATATATCAGGCCTTTGCATTTCCCCACCCAAGCCAGACAGCCAGATGCAAACAAATCTGTTGAGCCATGTAAGGGGGATTTCCACTTCATTGGATTTCCTGATTCACTTATCAGGGTAAGCACTGTCAAAGTGGCACTGTTATCTCCTCTGAGAATTAAAATTAATATAACCAGAAACTAATCAGATCTGTTCACTTTCTTCTCCAAGAAAAAAGCAACTCATTTCATTGTGCATGTTCCCACTCTGGGCTACTTAAAATGTTTCAGGATACTCTAAAAGTCTGTTCCAAAAAGCAAGGGGGTGTGTGGAGGTGAGGTGGATGGAGAGA